ATGCGGGGCTCGATCCCCGGACGCTGGGATCATGACCTGAGCCGAAGGCAGATGCTTAACGACTGAGCCACCCATGCGCCCCTGGGAAAACTTTATTTAGAGGGATCGTATTTTCAACTCAAAGAATATATTTTCTTCTATATCGTGTATTTCTTAAGACCTTATTCATAGTTTAGGAATAAAAAAAAAAAGCTCATCTTTAGCAAGAATTCTCTGTACAAAGTATCCACATTTCTGATAAAGCAAATGAGGGATTCTCATGACTCTCATTTGCTTCCAGCTTATTCTCCCCTTCGCTGTACCACCCAGCCTCCTGTCGGCCACTTCCAAGTGCACTGTTCGACTCCACTCTCCTGAGAACAGCTTACACTTTGCCTTAATCTTCTCTCAAACAACCCTTCTACCTCATCACCTTAACTGTCATTTTCCTATCCTTGAGAATATTTCTTCAGGTCCATCCCAATCTCATGGCTCCACTACCCACTTCCACTCCTCTTGGCTCACCTGCTGGCAGACAAGCCTCACACACTGGCTCTCTAGCGCCACCTCCGGGTGACTTTCAAAATGAACATTTTTCAGCCCTGATTATTTTCTGGCAGTTAGCCAAGGTTTTGCAAGCATTATCTCATTTAATTCTCCCAAAACTTGACTCCCTCATGCTCCAAAGCACGCTGATTGGGCGGTGTCTCTTTTCTATTTGATCTTGAGAAAACTCTCTTGTATGCTTGACTTTTCAAAAAAAACTATATTATTTGAATTGTATTTTTATTTGTGGCTCAGCCAATTCTTGACGTGAGCATACAACAGGACATTTTTCCCTTCAATGCAAAGTCAGTGCTAAAACCTAAATATCCATCACAACTGGTTAATTATGGTGCCTTCACCATGGAATATTATGCGTTTGTCAAAAACTGTGCATATTTTTATCTGCTAATGTGGAATAATTTCAAATAATTATTAAATTAAAAATAGTTAAAGCTAAGATATTACATATTTTACCAGCAGATCTGAATAAATAAGAAAAAGCAATATTGGCTCTGCATAGAATATTTTTGGACAGTTACATGGAAACTGCTAGTATACTTAAGAAGTACTGGGGTTTTTTTTATTTGCATTGTATTTATGTTTAAGGAGAACAGATGTTGCAGTGATGTTAGAATTATGGGATGTTACTGTTTTCTTCTTTTTATAATGCTTTTTTTGAAGTGAAAGTGCTATTTTTACATAGAATTTCTAGCTAACCTGGATTTTCGTAGTAATTTTGTGATATAGTTTTATCAAAGCAGTAACAGATATGGGTAAATACTGAACTAGTGAGTTTGTGTAAGAAGTCTTCAACATAAAGTCAAGTCCTGATGAATGTTGCAATCTTGATTAGCTACTTTCTCCTAAAGAAAAAAGGAAGCATAGCGGTGATCACTGTGTAAAAGCGCTATGATCCTCAAATAAAACATTCATTTCAGAGATCTGCACTTAGTTGAGATAAATAATGCCATCACATTGTGAAGAAATGAGTATCAAGTGAATGTATGCTACATTTGGGGGTGATAGTAGTTTTTCTTTTCTTATGGTGGATTATAATACTCATCAGATTCATCCTAGAGAAATTACACCACATCAATAGGATAAATTCGTGACCAAGACTGAGTCTATCATTCACTGTAAGAGCAAAGTGATTATTTTGGCAAGACTTCTTCTCCGGAAGGCATTTTTTAGGAGATGATTGATAAGATTACTTATGTGCACAGACGTGCTGTCTCAAAGAATAGGAGAGCCATACTGATTTTTTCAATATTATGACAGTCCTATAAAATTGGGTGAAATTACCTTTGTGCTCATCAAAAGAGGTGGAATTCCTTTGTGATTGTAGCTGAAAATATCTCAGGTATCTGTAGTATATAAGGAGTGTTTAATTTGTGAAACAAAAAATCTACTTTAATTCAAATGATTTCGAAGACAGCATGCATTTCGAAGACTCTGCGGCCACATTGGGATCAACAGTTCAAAGAATTTCTGGTTTAAGATGAAAATGTATTACCGAATTCCATGCAGTCTCTGTCTCTCAAAGTCCCTCTTATCTGCCCCTCCTGTCACTTCATCATGAAACAAAATTGTTCTCCAAAAGGCGTGTTGTGTCAGTCTTTCTGTTCTCAGAGCTCTGTTCTCAGTTCTCTGTGATTACAAATTGATTGTTTGATGGTTTGCACTTCGTCTTTCCGAGTATTGATGTGCAGGTGACAGCTACTTAATTACCAGGGCTTCCTTTTCCTTTCTAATTAATAGACGGTTAATTCAGTTACTCTCCCTCAGTCTCCGGGAATTTATGACCTGCACAGCAACTCTCAGACTAGCCAGTAGCTGTGAGGTGTCCTCCTACAATTAATAATCCACATGATTTCTACTTCGTCTTGAGTTATTTTTCCTTAATGCTTCTTTCATAATTCAGTGTTTTCCTTTCAAACTCTTATGATAAGATGCCCCTTCCAACAGAATATAATTGAATTTTTAAAAATCAGATAAAAATATAAAACCTTAGAAGTCTCTGAGTCTTTATATTTCTCTGTTATCAGATTTCCAGACAATGATATTTTTCCTGGAGAGATATGTGTGTGTGTGTGTGTGTGTGTGTATATCTATCCAAATAGACCTGTGTATTTATTTTGTATTTATCTGACTATATCTGTGTGTGTGTATATATATATAGATAGATAGATAGATATCCGAATATATCTGTGTATTTATTTTGTGATACAAAGCTGCTGGCTGATCCTTGTATGCACCTCCTTGGTTCATACATTTCTTTAAAAACTTAAAAAATTTTTTTCATTTTTAATTGAAGTATAAATATAATATCTTGTAACCTCATTTTTTCCCCCTTTACATTATCTGTCTGAAAAGCTACTCATCTTCAATCTGTCTTCTTCCTGACCTTGCTGCATTCAACTATATTTTATTTATCTGTTTTTTTTTTTAAAAAACACCTGGCCTAGTTTCCAAATGTTGGGGACTACAAAGCAATCAGTTCTCAGGATTGTTCTGATTTTCGTTAATGTAACAACTAGTTGCTTTTCCTGTGTTGCTTGTGCAAAGGCAGTATGTTCTTCGTGACTTAAACAACAATCTGTTTTGTATTTCTTTTTTTCTCCCCCCTTGAAATTTCGATCTATTCAATCAGGTTTCTAATATTGTTGAAGTAGACCTTCAT